AGCTGATTCCCTTTGTTATACAGCAGAAACTAACACAACACTGTAAAGCAATTATACTCCAGTAAAAATGTTAAAAAAAAAAGAGGAAAGAATATCATACCGCATATACATTCTAGCTATTTGCTTTTTCACTTAAAAATACATTATATACACTTTCTCATATCCTTAAATATGCAACTTACTTTTTCACAGCTGTATCATATTCTATCACATAATTGATTTAATGATTTCCATTAACACAAAAAGCATTGTCCGAGCCATTCTTGTACATAAATATTTGGTTATTTCTTTCAGTTAAATTCCTAGTGTTAGAATTGCTGGTTGAGGTTTTTGATCCACATTGCCAAATCCCCTTTAAAAAAGGCATCCTGCTTTATATTCCCACTCCAGTCCACCAGAGCGTCAAATGCCTTGTAAACTCAACCACCCTGGGCATTTTGTGGGGAGGATTGTTATGAAACTTATTTTCTTGAATTGCCTTTTTTTTTTTTTTTTTTTTGCGGTACGCGGGCCTCTCACTGCTGTGACCTCTCCTGTTGCGGAGCACAGGCTCCGGACGCGCAGGCCCACGGGCCCAGCCGCTCCGTGGCATGTGGGATCTTCCCGGACCGGGGCACAAACCCATGTCCCCTGCATCAGCAGGCGGACTCTCAACCACTGCGCCACCAGGGAAGCCCCTTGAATTGCCTTTTATGGGCTAACAGTGTATGGTAGAGGAATTCAGAGAGGAAGAAGATTATGGGAAAATGTATGGGAAGATGTAGCCATATATGGTACAGCTATTTTGCTTCCTGTTATTCTTAGTAACTACATCATTCTGGTGAGAATGCTTAAGGGGACCCTATCCTCCCATGGTGGTTCCATGTTTCAAATGGAACCTTCACCTTGGCTATTGTTTTCTCTCCCCTATTCTAGTGAGTAAACTCTCTGCCGTGCCCGGAATTAGCAGTGTCCATGAAGTTCACATCTGGGAACTTATAAGTGGGAAGATCATTGCCACGCTGCACATCAAGTATCAGCAGGATGGGGGAGATCAGGATGCCAGTATAAAAATTCGAGAAATCTTCCACAACACAGGAATCCACAATGTGACCATCCAGTTTGAGAGGGTGGACCTGAAGGGGCCCCTGGGGCAGAAGGACTTGCAGCTGCTCTGCAGCTCACCCTGCATCTCCAAGGACTGCACCAAGCAGCTGTGCTGTCCCCCCGGGGCACTGCCTCTGGCCCATGTCAATGGCTGTGCCGAGCACAATGGCTGTCCCCCACTGGACTTGTCCCGGAGTGATGGCCTTGGGATACGAAAAACAGCAGAAGTGGCTCTTGAAGTATCTTTGGAAGGTTGTCTGAGTGACCATGCACAAGCTCTTAGCAAATCTCAGGAGGACTCACGTTATGTCAACAGCACACATTTTTAGTTTGGTGCCCACATCAGTAAGCTGTATAGGCGAGGCACTTTGGAACCACTAGCTGGGCTTGTGGGAAGAGATTTGTGGGTCATAGACTCTGATCACACTCACAGTGTGCACACGCTCTGTGTTCAATAAGGGTTTTGGCTGTTTGGGATGTTAGTTGAACTTGTCTGTTAATTTTTATGTGACCGAGAACCCTTTTACATTATCCTGGGTGTTTCATGCTGCTCTTCAACAGTTTTGTGTGAACATTTATTTTCCGAAGCAAATGCACTAGTATACATATCAGGGACATTGAAGGCTGGGTCTCAATAATCGTGGAAACAGGATTCAAAGTAGTTTTTGTTCGGAATTGCTTAGAATGGCTAGCTGACTCTCAGGTGAGCTCATAGCCAAGCACATCAAACAAAAACTTAAGAACCATAATAGCTATATTCTTTTCTATTCCACTGGGAGATCATAAAAGAGGAAAGTTAAGTAGTCCTATAACTGCAGAAATTGTTTTCTTTGACTAATTTTTGAATAAACGTAAAACGAATACCTAGTAAGGTAGAAAATATTCTCAGAACATTAGAGGATGTCAGGTTTATTGGGGGTGGGGAAAGGCAGGAAGAAAATGCATTTTGATGATTTCTTCATTTTGAGAGGTAGAGAGAAAAAGACTTTCTGCTGTGAACTGAACTACAGCTATAGGATGCTTCAAATGTTCAAATACATAAGATGCTTTTTTTTTCACTTGGAAGTGTGGGAATATTTCTACTCCTTTAAGTATGACACAGTACCTATATACTGTCTTTTAGAGTCAGTCTAGTTAGGACTGTTTTCATTTATTGCTTATTAATGATTTACTTATTTGCCCAAATTTCCCTTCAGTCTTCTTTTATATGATCCCATTGATCTATGTAGCATTTACCAGGAGAAAATGAGTATTCTCGGGATAGGAGAATATATGGCATTGAGTATGCATTCTTGCCCAAAAAATAAGTTAGATTGACTTTCCTTTAATTAGACATATTTTAAGGTATTTACTATAGTTGCCAACTAGTAATTTGATGGAAAAGTGTATGTCCAAGGGAGAAATGAGAATTAAATTGCTGCCTTTAATGTGTTTCAAGGAGCTTTTACCTTTTTCTTTTATGTCTCTTGACCCATATTATCAAGTTCAAATACTTCTATTAGAATCTGATTTTTGTTCCATGTACTGGAGAAACATCTGACATGAATTTAACAAACTGTTTAGGCAGCAATATTTTCACCAGAACAGTCTCAAAATAAGTATAAGAAAATGGAAGGTGCCTTGCTAAAGAACTAGAATTTTTTTTTTTTTTTTTTTTGCGGTACCCGGGCCTCTCACTGTTGTGGCCTCTCCCGTCGCAGAGCGCAGGCTCAGTGGCCATGGCTCACGGGCCCAGCCGCTCCGCGGCATGTGGGATCTTCCCGGACTGGGGCACGAACCCGTGTCCCCTGCATCGGCAGGCGGACTCTCAACCACTGCTGCCACCAGGGAAGCCCTAGAATCTTTTTTGATGGGTTGCAAAATTGACTGAAAAAGATCATCCCTCAGGCTGTAAGCATTGAGTCTGCGCAGTTTAGAATCTTCACAGTTCTCATCAGAAATGCTGGATTGGGAACAGAAAAAGCACCCACATTTTTCAACACAAACACCATTTAAAAAACTGTGTCTTAGTTTTAAATTCTAAGGCTGAAATAAAGAAGCAACTGTGATCAGTAGAATAGGAAAATTTTTATTCCTTGAAAATTTATTATCCGAGTTTAAATTGGCCATGAATTAGGTAAATAGAAAAATGCCTAAATATGTTTTTATCCCTAGGAGTTTATTAAGCATATATACTTAATAGTATTATATAGTATGTACTATAGCTATTATATAGTATGTACTTAATAGCTAAAATGGGGGTAGATATAAGGCAACATTTTTACTTTTAATATTAAAAGCATGGCATGTACTCACACAAAACAGAGGATTCTCTGTGAAACTCACCACAGTAAAATGTGGACCAAATTCTCTTGTATAAATGTTGGTTGAGATACACTGATTGGAGCCAAAGAAGAAATGTCTCTCACTTCCAGATTTGAAGGTCTAATTTGATTTCATATCATTCTGCTTTTATTAAAAGGGAAAAATTATAATTTTATAGTTTTTGTGCAGCTGGGTAAAGGAATGCATATTAGTTTACATCCAAATAATGTTCTTTAATTAATCTCTAAAGTATTTTTCTGGAAAGGAAAAGGCTAATTCCAACATAATTAAATCTAACCTCAGAAAATTATCTCGATGGACATTTATGAACATACCAAATTATGGAGTGCAGTCAATGTGAAATAGTACCTTTTGAAGACAGTTGGGCTCGGTGTGTTTAATAATGTCCAAACAAGCTAATTAAGTGCAATATTTTTCTATCGGGTTAGGTGCTTGCATTTGCCACTCAGGCACCGTGATGCCTGCTGTATGGTGTTTTTACTTGGGTTTTACTCTCCCTTTAGTTGTCCTGCATTTTAATTCTCCCAAGGAAACACAAAAATTTTCTTTTTTCCTTTGAATGAGCCCTGCAAAGTGGCAGTGGTGCCTAAACAACAGTGTTTTTTTTCCTGAGATTACAAAAATACTGCTACTCAGTTTCGCGTTCCTGTGTGCATAGGTTAGTTCCAGAAAATTCTCTCTTTTTTTTTTTTTTTAGGAACTGAAAATAAGTTTTTAAGAGTCTAGGGAATCCTCTGGGTGTCAGATCAGGACCAGCCATCAGGTGTTCTAACCTGGGGATGAGGGATAGCCTCCTATTTCTATGGAAAGAGTCCTTTCCGCATTATTTCAGCACCAGCTATAGGAAAAACTAAGTCTACTTTTATTTTCCAACTTTCAACTCTGTTTGTGAAAATAGAGGTTACGTTTTTTATCATGATATTTGTCCGTTATGAATACCCGTGGGGCTACCAGGTTCCATTGTTGACAGAAAAAAATATTATCCTTTTAATTTTTTGATCAATAAAATAGGGAGACATTGAGGAACAATTTAGAATACTCTCCATGTTTAGTTACTTTTTTTCCTTCTTTCTTTTTTTTTTGCCGCCAGCTGGCCAAACTCTAGTGGAGGTAAATCAGGAACTTCAAAGTTCAGTAGGAATGGGTGCTTTGAATGTCAAAGAAATCACTGGGGTAGATTTTGGATTGTAATAAACTGCCTTTTGAGGTAGCAAGAGCTTTTGCTGTGCTTCTTCAATCTCCTTGTCCTTGACATTTGAACTGGATAACTCCTTGTTGTGTGGGGCTGTCTTGGCCTTGTAGGATTTTTAGCAGCATCTCTTGGCTTCTACCCCCTAGATGCCAGTAGCATCCTCTCAAGTTGTGACAACCAACAATGTCCCCAGACATTGCCACAGGTCCCCTGGGGAGCAGAATAGCCCCTAGTTCTGAGCCACTGACTTAACCTAAGGGTCCTTGAGGGATATTGTTGATGAAAGCCCTTCCAGGGCCCAATAATCCTTTTAATATAATCACTCTGAAGAATTTGCTCTTTAAAAAAATATTTTTAAAGGCTAGATAAAACTATTTATAAAAATACAGTCGTCTTTAGAAGGGGTTACATCAGCACAATTGATTCTTGGAGTTAAGGTGTTTAATTTCCTACCAATTTTAAACTTACGATATTTTTTTGTTACTGGTTTCTGACAAACAGCGCATCTTAGTGCTATGACAAATTCGGATGTTAAAAACATTTTTTTATTGTTCATGACTCACTTAATCCTTTGCCAAATCATATCCATTTTTTTCCAAGAGTACAAAATACATTTCCTGTTTTTAAATTACCCCGCGTGTAATGTATCTTCACACTCTTGCAATTAAAGATCGCAAAAAAGACTGGTTTAAAAAAAACGACGAAACGCAACCTAATCTGGGTTTCTAATTTAGGCTGAGTAAGCATGCCTATTGTATAGCCCTTGTCGTTCACTTGATAAATTGTCACCTATTTGTGCTTCTGAGTGTATTTACATGTGATTAGCCACAGGAATAAAACAGGAATGAAGCTGTTGAATCGGGGAAGTAGCTGCTCAAATGGAACTTGCCTCAGACCCTAATCCTCACTGTAATCTCAATGTTCTTATGAATTTGGAGTTTAGCTAATGGAAATGTGCATTTTTTTCTGGAACTTTTCAGGTGTTTCATTCTGGACTTTTTTGTTTACGTGGAACTTTCTTGCTTATTGCTAGATGGGTCAGTGGGCTCCTCTTGGTACAAAGCCAGGCCAGAGACACTGAACCTCCTCTGAGTTCTGATGGGAATAATCTGGAAAGGATGATGATTTTCAAGGGAGAATAACCCCTTCCTGGAGGTCTGAAATTATGTTACAGTATTGTGGAGTTTTGTTGCTTAAAGTCTTCCTTCTGTCCTCACAGGTGATTTTGCCAAAGTATAATTGTCACATTTGGGGGAATTATTAAAACCCTAAGACACAAAGTTTCAATAACTCATCGCTAATTGCATGTGAAGTCCCCCAGTGATGTATGCACAGACGCATACCTTTAAAAGTGAAGATGTTCAATGGTGCTATCAATAAAAAGTTTTTCAAATAAATATATGACTGAGAGATATTTGTGAAAATTAAACCGGTAACGCAAAGTAGCTGAACGCATTTTGTCTTTGTCACTTACTCCATAGTCAGTTTCCACTCAGTAACTCCGTGGATTGATTTTAATAATTCAGGACTAATTCTGTCTCCATTTCACACCCCTCTGCCGCTCTCCACTCTTGGCAGAAATGTCACCAATTGACCCAGCTACCTTACTTACTGTAACCTGGACTGATCTGGTTTTCTAGTGGGGGCTACCCAATGGGTTTGTGTAGGAGGGGAGCTCCTGGGATTTAGGGAATGGTGAGAGGTTAGGCTTTTTTGGGGAGAGACCCTATAGATCTGAAAATCTCTCCAATGAATTGACTGGCATCTTTATGACTATTGAATAAGGGGAACAGTCTTCCATTTCTTTCAATTGCTTTTATGCTACCCATCAGTCAACTGATTAATTGGCTTATACTTATTGTAAACCATGTACAAGTGCTTCTTGCCTCTAAGGAGTTTATAATCTATATGTGAAAAAGGCAGTCCACCTTTGTGGGAGTTTAAAGAGAGCTACCTGTAGCCTGGATGGCCGGGGAGTGGGGGGATCTTGTGCTGGACGGGTTCTGGTGCTCAGATGTGCACATTCTAAGCCCTGGGCAGCATCTGCAAAAGGAGAGGGTTACATAATATTTCAGGACCATTAGCTTCCTTCAGCAGTATGAGTCTGGAGTATGGAGCAGAGGTGAAAGTACTCAGTACTCTAGGGCTTAGGCTGCAGAATCTCTGACTACTCCATTTAAGAGAGAACCCAGCCTCTCTCTGTGTCTCTTACCTTCCTTAATGTTGCTTCGTAGCACTGTCGCTTGGTAACATTATATTACGCATTTGTTTATTTCCTGTCTCTCCAAGTAGAATAAGGCTTTGTATAATCCACCACTGTGTTCTTCAGCCTCTATCCCAGTGCTTGGAACAGTGCCACAGTACCTGGCACATGAATGAATGAATGAATGAATAGGTTCAGCACTTGGTGTTCCGGGTTGGAGGCTTTGGACAAATCATTTAACTTCACTGTGCTTCAGTTTTCTTATCTATAATTGAGGTTAATGATGAAAGCCTGTGTTATCTTCCTTACAGGGTTATTGTAGGAATCCTAGGAGATCAAATAGGTGAGAGCAGAGTTAAGTGTCAATGGATTTTATTATCTTATGCTTTCAATCTGACGTTCGCATCCTTCCTGCTCTTATCCCACCTCCTCTCATCTCTGTAATCCCATTTTGTCAGTTAAATACCCCTTAAAGCTAAATGGCACTAAACAGTGGTACTGTCAACACGGGTAAAAGTGAAGAGGAGAGAATGAAGAGTCAAGCACAGCGCAGAAGGTTTCCATTTGAAACTAGCCTTGGGGTAGTTCAGTGGGTGAAGAAACAGGGAGAGGACAACCCATCTGGAGAGCTGAGACTTCATTCTCTAAGGCAGCGGCGCTAAGCTTTTGTAGGAGGGATGTTGGAGGGTGCAGATTGGGGAAATACCAGGAACAAAGTTTTTTGGTGAAACGATTTTATGCAGACATCTTCCCCACCACGATCTATGCTGCTCTGTGTTCAGCAGACCTACCACCTCACCTCCTGCCTCACGCAGGATCTTGAGCCCCAGGAGCTGTTGCTAAGGCCTCCCTGGGGATGTCCCACGGGAGTCTACAGACATTCCACATTCACTGGGAGTTTACCCCAATTCTTTTTTTCTCTAATGAAGTATGGCTGATTTACAATGTTGTGTTAATTTCTGCTGTACAGCAAGGTGATTCAGTTATTCATGTATATATACATTCTTTTTAAAAATATTCTTTTCCATTATGGTTTATCATAGGATACTGAACGCAGTTCCTTGTGCTGTACAGTAGGACCTCGTTGTTTATGCATTGTATATATAATCGCTTACATCTGCTAATCCCAACCTCCCACTCCATCCCTCCCCCAACCCCCTCCCTCCTGGCAACCACAAGTCTGTTCTCTATGTCTGTGAGTCTGTTTCTGTTTCCTAGATAGGTTCAGTTGTGCCATATTTTAGATTCCACCATATAAGTGATATCATATGGTATTTGTCTTTCTCTTTCTGACTTATTTCACTTAGGATGATCATCTCTAGTTGCATCCATGTTGCTGCAAATGGCATTATTTTGTTCTTTTGTTATGGCTGAGTGGTATCCGTTGTATATATGCACCACATCTTCTTTATCCATGAGTTTATCCCAATTCTAAAATCACCGTTCCGTGATGCTCTTCTGTTGGTTTTAGTGGGAGCATTCCGCCCACAATCCCTCCTCCATGCTCCTCTCCCCAGACCAGCTGGAACCTTGCTGCCACATTTAATACCACCATCCCTCTCATCCTGTGTCTAACTAATCTTTATGCTCAATAAATGTTCCCTTCAAAGGACTCTTGACATCAGTCCCTCCTTTTCTATTCCTGTCCCATTTCTTGGGCGCAGCGTTAACACCTCACACCTGTGCTGGTGCAGAAAGCTGACCAGCCTTGAACTTCCTGTCGACGCTCTTGTTTCCCTCTGCTCCAGGAAGAGGACAAACTCCTCAGCCTGTCACCAAAGCCCCCCTTTGCCCCGCTGGGCCCCAGCAAGCTTTATCTTCTTCAGCAGACAATAAGAGCACCAAGATAACCTAAGGAAGTTAGAACGTGAGAGGGTGTAATGGTGGTTCCTTGTGGACTGGTAAATGGAGTTTTGTATGAGTTGGGGAGTGAATATCACACAGTAGCCTGTTCTGTTTACCCTAAAAAGGCATTTTCACTTTTTTGAGTTTTGAATGAGATTAGCCAAGTGATTTCCTTTCTGCTTTCTCTCTCTCTCTCTCTTTTTTTTCTGATTCCTTCCTTTTCTATGTTAGCATGTCACTTTGCCCCAAAGGGTGATTTTCTGTGGATGACAAACTGCCACTCTTCCAGCCCTAGTGTCCTGATTCAGGAGCATGCTCTGAAATGAATACATTCCACGCAGGGAAATAGAGCCACGATCTCACTCATTTTTGTAAGGCAGAAGGATGGTGGACTTTCCTTTGTCTCATACTTGAACCATATGTTCACAGAGGTGGCTGTACCATTATAATAAGCTCCCATACAGAGTCACAATATTTGGTACATCACACTGGTTCTTTTAGGCTTGGAGATGCAAATGTAATTTTCATGGAATTTTTAACCACAGGGCTGGGTGGGTTTTTTGCCTGCATTTTCTCAGGGGAGGGAGGGGAAGGAGGAGGTATAAATTCTTAGAGTGGCTGGTGTCGATATGTGCTTGCAGCGGTGATGATAAAAACCAGGTCTTCTATCTGCCTCAGAAACCCGGGACCTGTGCTGGGCTGTGAGTGTGTGGCTGTAATCTGGTGTTCAAAAGTATTTAGAAAAAACGAATATGACACTTTTAGAAGGAGTGATGCCTGAAGCTTTGCTTTATAGCTTTTGCTTTCTATTGTCAAAACTTGCACAGCAGAGGGCTTCCTAGGTGGGGAGACGGGATCTGGCCCATGGCCTGACCAAATCTAGGTTATAGAAAAGGGCTTTCCAGGAAGGTGAGAGGAATTGGGAGATTGGGATTGACACATATACACTATTGATACTATGTATAAAATAGACAGCTAATGAGAACCTACTGTATAGCACAGAGAACTCTACTTAATGCACTGTGGTGACCTAAATGGGAAGGAAATCTAAAAAAAGAGGGGATATATGTATACATATAGCTGATTCATTTTGCTGTACACTAGAAACTAACACACCATTGTAAAGCAACTATACTCCAATAAAAATTAATTAACGAAAAAAGAAAAGGGGTTTCCAGAGAGATTTTATTATAAGAATTAACATAAACTATGAAGTATAGCTTGGAGTTTGAGCGTTCTGGCTCTGGGGTCTGCCTGCTGTCAACTCCCAGCTCCACCAGCTGCTTGACCTCAGGAAGTCCACTATCTGTGAATAAAAAAAGTTTCCTGAGCCTCATTTTTACCATCTGTAAAAGTGGAGAAAGTCTTAATTCCTGCCTCATGAGATTTTGGGGAGGATTAACGGCGATGGTCCCCGTGGAGTACCCAGCACAGAGCCCAGATCTATAGATGCTCTTAGGAATGCTAGGCCTTCTTTAAACTACCAACTTTAATAAGTAAGATTTCAAGAGTTAGTCTTCTTTTTGACTCACCACTCACAGTGGAAATGCCAAAATGTATAGCATAGACCAGCTTTGAGTGTCGGCACCAAATTAGATTTTAAACGTCTTGAGGGCAGAGGCCATATTCCACTATTTCACCAAAGAACAATATAGACTTGATCACATGACCGAAAAATCCCAAGGCACCTTGTTCCTAGGAAAGCGAAATTGACCCAATACTGAAGGGCTTCAGTGGATTACCAGGGCCCTATTCTGCAGGACCTCACCTCCCAACCAAGTTGGTGTCTCCAACAAGAGCTTTATGGAGGGTTCCTGGGTCCAGGTTCCAGTCAGAAGCAGTGAGGGCTTCAGCTCCACGGCTGTCACTGCCTTTCAGCCACAGACCACCAGGACACACCTGTGGATAAATAATAAAACAAATGGGTTTTAATGTTCAATGTAGGGAGGGGACTGTCCACCATGGGGAACCATGAAGCATCTTAGCAAGAGCGTGTTCACAAGGATTTGTTACAGCATCTGGGCTGTGTTAGCTGATCTGGGGGAGGATTCAAGGAAGGGGAGCTTTGCCCTGGATTAGATGCTGCCGGCAAGTGGGATAATTCTATGACTGGGTGTCTTAATGAATTCTGTCTATAAGGTGAGGGGAATGAAGCGAGGCTTCAGTTTTAATTGGTAAAGAACAGCAGTCATTCATATTATCCTGGGTAGGGGGATGTCCAGTATTTCTCTGGCTGGCAGAGCGCTCTTATTTTTATCTGAGCTTAAGATCAGAGGGCAGAGTGGCTTCTTGTCTGGTGCTCATGTCCTGAGACATTGCGTTCAACAGAACACTCTGACTTAGCCGTGAGCGCCAGGCCAATCCTAGCAACACCAAGGCCGAGCTGTGTCAGTTCCAGATGTCAGGGGACCTGCTTGTCTCTTTTTCATATTTTCAGTACGTCTTATATTTGTTGATGCATTTTAATGAAGCAGGCTATGAGCGTTTAAATCCTGTTTAGAAGGTCACTTAGAAGCTGTGTGACCCTGGGCAAGTTACTTCACCTCTTGGAGCGTCAGTATCCTCCAAACTTTTCGACGTGAGGTATGATACCTACTCCCAGGAGTGCTGTGAAAATAAAATGAGATCACGCATGTTCCTGGCAAAGACTCAGTGACTTTAAAATGTTAGCTGTTTTTATTGAGCCCCTCTATGTATATATCTGCCTCCATGACTGTCTCATTTTTAGGACATGAATCAAATGCACTTTCTCCTTTTGCCTCATTTTATTTCCTTGTATCATGGGACTATTAAAAAAATCCTTTAAGAAAAGGGAACCCTCCTACACTATTGGTGGGAACGTAAATTGGTGCAGCCACTATGGAGAACAGTAGGGAGGTTCCTTAAAAAACTAAAAATAGAGCTACCATATGATCCAGCAATCCCACTACTGGGCATATATCTGGAGGAAAACATGGGTTTCAGAGGCTACATGTACCCCAATGTTCACTGCAGTGCTGTTTACAATAGCCAAGACATGGGAGCCACCTAAATGTCCATCGACGGATGAATGAATAAAGAAGATGTGGTGCATATATGCAATGGAATATTACTCAGCCATTAAAAAGAATGAAATAATGCCATTTGCAGCAACATGGATGGACCTAGAGATTGTCATACTAAGTGAAGTAAACCAGAAAAAGACAAATATCACATGATATCGCTTATATGAGGAATCTAAAAAAATGATACAAATGAACTTGTCTACAAAACAGAAACAGACTCACAGAGTTAGAGAATGAACTTATGGTTACCAAGGGGGAAGGGTGGCGGGGAGGGATAGATTGGGAGTTTGGGATTGACATGTACACACTGCTATATTTAAAATAGATAACCAAAAAGGACCTAATGTAAAACACTGTTGTCTTTTTAATGAATATGTGCAAATCAACATCCATTTTCTCTTATTACAGGTAGATTTCTTGTAGCTGTTTATGTTATTATGAAGAGGGAAAATATATTGGCCTAGTTTTCTGACTTTCCTCTTAAAGCAGAAAGCCATTTTTTTTGCTTTAGTTATAAAGAAGAGGGGGAATACATGATAAAGTAACTGGCTTGATTTCTCTTTCATTTTACACAGCTTCTGAACATCTAATTGTTTTTAGTTGTCTAAATAAAATGCCTCTAAAACAAACAAAAAACAAACAAAATCCTTTAAATATCATGCTTAGAAGACTTGCTAGATGCCTAAGGTGATTTCTTCTTTTGTGGTCACTCCTAGGAAATACTCTTCATGTCACTGCCGCCATCACTACTGCTGTAACCAATAAGATGGTGTCAAATAATCAGGGCTAGAGAGAGTCTGGCTAACGTGTGTGTCCTAGCATGGGCTGTCACACAGCTTGTCAGTGGCCAGACTGTTACCCAAATACTCAGGTAACTATCTGTCAAACATCAATACATGAATGAATGAAGGGAGGTAAATGGTGAAGTGTGGTTCACCTCTCACCCCACAGTCTGTCAAGTAGGTATTTTCTTTCTCTTTTGACACCAACATTCAAATGAAGCTCTGATATACAGTTTATAAGTCACTTCAGTGCTCAACACTTCACCGCAAAGAATGCCCTGGGTGAGATATCTGTGGTTTCCAACAATGTTGGCCTCCTATCTCCTCTTTACAGTGTCCTGGACTTGGACTTCCACGCCCACATATGTTTCAGGCCATCACATTTGAAACAGATGTTTTGAGCCCCATTGCTCATATGATAAGATAGTGTCTTTTGTTATTTGGGAGTTCTCTTTTTAAAAATTTTTATTGGAGTATAGTTGATTTACAATGTTGTGTTAGTTTCTGCTGTACAGCAAAGTGAATCAGTTATACACATACATATATCCACTCTTTTAGATTCTTTTCCCATATAGGCCATTACAGAGTATTGAACCTACTGAAGCACCTACTGAAGCACCTACTGTGCTCTACAGTAGGTCCTTATTAGTTATCTATTTTATATATAGTAGTGTGTATATGTCTATCCCAATCTCCCAATTTATCCCCCCCCCCACTTTCCCCCTGGTAACCATAAGATTGTTTTCCACATCTGTGACTCTATTTCTGTTTTGTAAATAAGTTCATTTGTACCATTTTTTTTGGATTCCACATATAAGCAATATCATATGATATCTGTCTTTCTCTGTGTGACTTCCTTCACTCAGTATGATAATTTATAAGTCCATCCATGTTACTGCAAATGGCATTACTTCATTCTTTTTTATGGCTGAGTAATATTCCATTGTATATATGTACCACATCTTCTTCATTCATTCCTCTGTTGATGGACATTTAGGTTGCTTCCATGTTATCTGGGGGTTCTTGATTTCTTTTTGCCTTTCTTAGAACTATTTTTTAAATTACTAAACTGTCATAAAACAAAATTGTGCAGACATGTATAAAGTGTTTGAGATAATTCCAAACCTCAGAGGAAAGCATGCTTAATAAAATAACCATTTCCAACTATACATTTTGTTCTTCAACTTGCTTTTTATTCATATTAAAAAATGGAAGTATATTGATTTAAAACAGTGTGTTAGTTTCAGGTGTATGGCAAACTGATTCAGTTACACACACACACATATGTATATATCTATACTCTATTTGGATTCTTTTACATTATCATTTATTACAAGATATTGAATACAGTTCCCTGTGTTTATCCTTGTTGTTTATCTATTTTATATATGGTAGTGTGCATCTGTTAATCCCATACTCCCAATTTATCTTCAACTTGCTTTTTATTTTAATTTAAAAAAAATTTTGGCCATGCTGTGTGGCTTTCAGGATCTTAGTTCCCTGACCAGAGATTGAACCCCGGCCCTTGGCAGTGAGTGTGGAGTCCTAACCACTGGACCACCAGGGAATTCCCTTGAACTTGCTTGTTAAAGTGAGCAATATATTCTGGCTACTTTCCAAGTCAGGACATAAAGATTCACTCTATTTCTATTAATAGCTACATAGTATTCCATTGCATGTCTATATCAATAAATATCTAATCTCCTACTGATGAATTTTACTTCTAGAAAACCATATGGACTTAAAGCTACATACAATTTTATGGGTATTATGTGTGAGTATGTTTGGACTCCATGCCATTAAAAGTGTTTCTTCTTTATACTTTTTGCCCCACCCCATTTTCTATAATGAGTATACTTATATAATATCAGAAAAAATTATTTAAAAATAGTATTCATTTCACAAATGTTCAATTCAATTCAACAATGTCTCATATCTTCAAATAAAGCTGTTCCTTGACAACATAGACTGCATCTTCATATAATGGTAACATTGACTCAGCACTCCTATGTGCCAGGTACTTGACATGTATATATGATCTCATTTAATCATCACACATGTCTGCAAAGTCAGTTTGCTCTTTTACTTACGAGGAAAATGAAGCCCAGAGAGTGTTTTTCGCTTTTTAAATTTTTAAATATATTAATTTTTTTGGCTGTGTTGGGTTTTCGTTGCTATGCATGGGCTTTCTCTAGTTGTGGCAAGCCGGGGCTAGTCTTTGTTGTGGTGCATGGGCTTCTCATTGTGGTGGCTTCTCTTGTTGCGGAGCATGGGCTCTAGGTGCACAGGCTTCAGTAGTTGTGGCATGCAGGCTCAGTAGTTGTGGTGCACGGGCTCAGTAGTTGTGGTGTATGGGCTTAGTTGTTCCGCGGCACGTGGGATCTTCCTGGACCAGGGGTTGAACCTGTGTCCCCTGCATTGGCAGGAGGTTTCTTTCTTTTTTTTTTTTTTACTTCTTTATTGGAGTATAATTGCTTTACAATGTTGTGTTAGTTTCTGCCGTATAACAAAGTAAATCATCTATATGTATACATATATCCCCATATCTCCTCCCTCCTGCGTCTCCCTCTCACCCACCCTATCCCACCCCTCTAGGTGGTCACAAAGCACTGAGCTGATCTCCCTGTGCTATGCAGCTGCTTCCCACTAGCTATCTATTTTACATTTGGTAGTGTATATATGTCAATGCTACTCTCTCACTTCGTCCCAGCGTACCCTTCACCTTCCCTGTGCCCTTAAGTACACTCTCTACATCTGCGTCTTTATTCCTGTTCTGCCCCTAGGTTCTTCAG